ATTTTGATCTCTACTTATTAATGTAATCTAAATGTTATGGAGTAATATGATTTTCAGTAGGTTCAGGTGGTAATACTTTGAGACTATCTTTAATATATATTTATACTTTGAAATTCCTAACAAATCTCTATATTTTCTGATATATTATTATTTCCATTTTATTTTACTAGGATTTTCTAATATCATATATATTATAATTATTCTGGTCTAATTAAAATTAAAATCCTTTGAAATATTGTAATATATAATTAAAAATGATTATCAACCAAATAATAAATGAATCATTCAAAATAGACTAAAAATAAGTTCAATATTGAAGATTGTTCTGAATCTGAATAAGAAGAAACATTAAGAAAATCTTTGAATGCTTAATCTTAATCCTTATTTTAAACATCTTTATTTAGTGCATTAGATTCATAAGTTAAATCATTTAAAAAGAAACCAATAATTAAAAAATCTATGACTGAATTCCTTAATAATTATGATTAAAATTTTGATGATGTATTTGGTAGTATGAATATCCCTATAGATATAAATAACCATCAATAACAAAAATAAAAAAATAATCATAATAATAAAGATAAAGATAAAGGATAAAAAAGTAATAATAATAATAATAATAAGAAAAAATAAAAAAAGAGACCTATAGAAACATAAAATTCAGAATCAGAATCAGAATTAGATTCTAATACTAATTCAAATTCAAATTCAGATATATATACTAAAAATAAAAAATAATCAATTACAAATACAAATAATAAAAAGAAGTAATCTAAAAAAATTGTAGATTCAGAATCAGATTATGAAAATAATGAATAATATGAATAATTATAATAAAATAAAAAAACTAAAATAAATTAACCTTAAAAATAAACTAAAATCAATAATAAATAATCATCTGAAGAATAATCTACAGAAAATAAAAAATATAATCCAAATTAATTAGATTTACCATCTAATAATAAAAAAGAAAAGAAAGGTTAAAAATTGAAAAAAGCAATGTTTAATTTTGGTACAGATGAACCTGACACAAAAAAATAAACTAAATCTAATAAGATAAATAATAAAAATAACAAATAAGATAATAATAAATAATAGAATATAAAAACAAGAAGTAAAAAATAATAAAATGAATAAAATGATGATTCTAAAAATGATAAAATTGAATAATTAATTAATGAATATTAAAAATCAGAATAAGAATTATAAAAGACTCTTAAAGATAATGGAACTAAAGATAATTTAGAAAATTAAGATAAAAATCATATGTTAAATTTAGACAATATTAAAATGAATTCTTTGATTCCATAATGCTGTCCAAAAACTAAAACAGATGATGAAGTTGATATTCATGATTCATGAAATATTATATTATCTTCGAAATTATCATTTTTATTATAAATGATGGTGCCATTTTGTTTTCTCTGATAATATTCCTGGATTTGTAATATTTCCTTATTTTCCAAAATTTCCATAGACATTATGAGCAGTACTTAAGAAATGTCTTTTTACATTAAAACTAAAATATCTATATTATTATCTTACTGTCGATCTCCTAATTCTATTTAAGAAGCATTTTTAGTTAAAATTGGAGCATCTGGTTCTGGTAATCTAGATCTAAATGATCCTGTATTATATGGTTCTAATAATTTATTAGTAGATCCAACATGTAAATTGGGTCTTACTTTATAATCATCTCTTTTATATTATTATATTTAAATACGCATAAGATGATGTTGTATATGTAGATTTAGTTTCATGTTCAGCAGGTGTTTTATTGGCTATTTCATAAAATGGAACAGCCTATTAGTATTAAATATAATATTTTTACTTATGGATTACCTTATTTCATTCTTACATAAGAACATGAACTTACTCTTGTGTTTTTGAAAAATGCTGCTGATTTATCTAACTTTAGAGATGGATGTAAGACCATTCTGCCACTTTAAATTGATTGTTTAGTTTCGGACGGTTGTGACATTCTTATTAATTATATTATTTATTTTATTTAATGAGATCTAATCATTAATACAATTATAATTATAAATTAGACTAAATATTTTAGAGAGAAAAGTAACTAACTATTAATAGTAAATAGATCATATGATCTTCATTTAAAGAAATTGAATGAAATCAAAAGTAAAAAAACATAATCTTAATAAAGAGTTTAACATTTGGAAATCTTAGAAAAAAGAAACAATTTAAGATAATAAAGAAGACGTTTTGATTTAAATGGTATGCTAAAATCCATTATTTCAATAGAATAATCTGAACGTATAAATAAAGGAAATAGCTAGTTATATTAAAAAATAACAGAAATTTGCAATAGACCAATGTAATAAGATTACTATAAATATGAAGATGAAAATCTACATCATCCTCACAATTTAAACTTAACCTTACGTAAAAATCAAGCTTAATAAATACAAAACGAAAATATTAAAATAGCTGATCGTCTAATGAAATAAGAACCAGTCTTAAAATTAGAAGAATTTTCACATTCTTATAAAGAAAATAAAAGATTAATGATAAGATTATAACGATATTAATAATGTTAAAATTACATGAATATAATAAGGTATTATTTTCTATTAAATAAGAAATCATATGACATATTCTTATAGAGATTCTACAAATAATAGTTCAATAAATTCAAAAAAGAAAGAAAAACAATAATTATAATTTTAATTATAACCAATTATTATTAAGTAAATATATTATAAATTGATTATTTATAGTTTAAAAGCTAAATCAATTGAAAATAATGAAATAGATAAATTAAATGAAATTAAAGATAAAGTTTAATAATAAAAAGAAATAGAAAAATCAAAAGATCAATAAATTAAATAATAATTATCAGAAATTCCATAAGTAAATGAAGAATCTTAAATTGAAACAATTAGATAAGATGAAACTGTTGAATAATAAATATAATCATAAATTGAAAGATAAGTTAAACAATATCAAGAAGAATAAAGTGATGATATTGAATAATAATAATAATAAAAATGATATATTTTCCTTTTAACAGTAGTTTTGAAAAATAATATTAAAATTAAATTTATTTATTACTCATCAATTTTAACAGTCATATGAAAAATAAAGAATAAGTCTTAAAATAAGTCTATGAAAGTAATTTATTATATTAATCAAGATGATAATAAAATATTTGGTAAAAAAAATAAACCAAGAAACTAAGAACCTAATATGTTTGATATTATGAAATGGCCAGTTGAATAAGATGAACCTTGGGATTTCAAAAAGAAAATATAAGTTGAAAGAGAACCTGAAACTAAAAAATTAATAACAAGAATTAATCATGAAAATTAACCTTGGTTAACTGAAAATAAAGATAATTTCAGAAAAATTGAAAAATTAAAAGTAGAAGATTCATAAATCCTTGTATAAAGTATATTAGCATTCTTACAATTATTTAGAATTAGATGAAAAAACTATTAAAAATATTGCAAAATCTTGTGATTGTCGTAATCCTTAATCATAACCTAATCCATAAATTCAATTATAAGAAGATTAAAATAATCAATATAAATTACCTGTATAATGGAATCCTAAAATATAAACAGCATATCGAGATAATTACTTAGTCAAAGATATAAAAGATACAAATGAATTAATGTATTAATTAGAATAAAATAATAAAAATTTTAAAGGTGAATATAAAGTTTAAAATCCATTTAGTGGATTCTATTATGAAGAATCTAAAAAAGATGAAGAAGAAATAATCTCATCCGAAGAAGATGAATAAGATAATGAATAAGTTGATGATCAAGAAAAAAAAATGAATACTAAATTTATTAAGAAAGCTAAAACATTAGATCCTAATAATCCTGAAGATGCAGCCAAATTATAAAGGAGAAAAGATAGAATTAAGAAATTTCAAGGAGAAACTAGATGGATAGCAGATACAGCTTTCACTACTTATTTTGGTAAACCTGCTTGGGGTCCTTATGGATTCAATAATATAAATCCTGCTGTTGGAGGTATAGTATATGGATAACATATGCTTTCTCATAATGTCTAACCACATAGAAATAAAAATGATCCATTCTATATTTAAACATATTAAAATGCATTAAGAAAAGGAGCTGCAGTTGCAAGTGTTGAACCTGAACCACCAAGAAATTGTAGAGAATAAGATAGATTAAATCCTGAATAAGTGGAAGCTTAAAAATAAAGAAATTAATTGACTCCTACACCATATTCAGAATTAAAAAAGTAATTGGATTCAAAAGGGAAATCAACAATTCCTGAATTTAATATTAAAAAACCCGATTTAACTAATACTTTAAGATTTGCATCAGAAGCAGGTAGTGTTTAAGGAGAATCTTAGATATAAGATAAATCAGAGAAATAATAAAGAAAACAAAAAGGAGATAAAAGACCTTAATCTGCTATTGACAATCGTACATAGAAATCTTAAAAAGATAATGATAATAAATCTAAGATTAGTAATGATTAAAAAACAAAAGAATCTAAAAAGAAATAAGATAAAAAAGTTTAAATTTAATCAGAATCTAAATTATTAATAGATGATTAATTAGCTATTCCAGATAAGGCCAATAATAAATTTATTGAAGAATTAAAATAGAAAAAAGAAAAAGCAAATAGACTTACATGTAAGGTAAATGAAATTAATCCTTCTTTATTGAAATCATCACCTAAATAAGAATAAAAGAAATAAATAACAAATGATCTATAAGAAGTTAAATCTTTTGATGATAAGTAATATTATTTTATAAATCATTAGAAATCCACCAGCTAATTATTTGTAATAATTGGATCCAATTGAATTAAATCCAAAGAATTATAAAGGAGTTCCTGCAGATTGGTTACATAGAATACCATTTGCAGGTAAAAAGTAGGAAATTATAAAAAATGGATAATAAACAAGAGAATGTTTTGATTATGGATTTTGATTTTGGAAATATATTTATTATTATATATAACTAATTGAATATTAATTTATAAACAAAAATAAATCAAAAAAATTAATAATAGTTAGACATAATTGATAATATATCTTAAGACCATTGATTTTTGTATTTATTTTTTCTATGTTTATTCAAAATATCTTGATCATATATAAATGTACATTAATACAATTCTTAAATGATTTTACATTCTTTAATATCTTAATTTTTAGTATGTTATTATTATTCTTTTTTAGAGACATTTTAATTTTATGATAATATTTATGTTTAATTTTAAATAGCTATTTATTCTTTATTATCTACTAATTAATCTAAAATATATTAAACATCATTAATTTCTTATTTATTTTCATTATTCATTTATTATTAATTAATATCATTATTAGATTTTATTTTTTATTCATTTTCAGAATGTTCAGTTACTTCTACTAAACTATTTCTTGAATTTAATCTAGAATTTTATTTTGGTTATTTTGATATTTCTAATGTAGTTTTACGAGAAATGAGTTTTGATTATCTTTTTTATATTTCTTTTTTTATAATATTAGTTTAATCTTCTTAGAATTATTATTAATCTTACTTTTTAGGTGGAGTAGCTGGTAATTTCAATTTTTGTTAAAGAATTTATTATGCTGTAAATTTATTATTTCTTGAAGTCATAGTAGATGGAGAATCAGGAGTTTTAGGTGTAAGTGGACTATTAATTGATTTTACACTACTCTTTCTTCTACTTATTTAAGGTTATTAATTCATTTCTTATTAAATTTAGATTGGTTAAATAGAATATTATTTTGTTTATCTTTTATTCAAATTAGTAGTTCTTCTTCTAGTAGTGCTATTAGCTGGTGAACAATCTGTCATTTAATCAGCAAATTATCCAATTTAATCTTAAGATTATTCAAAATCTTTTTCAGATATTTCTTTAAAATCAATATTATTAGGTTTTTCATCAGCTTCTGTTTGAATTACTATAGATATATCCATTCCATCGAAAAGACTACCACAATTACGTTTAGTTGGTCTCTTATTTTCAAATAATTTTTTTAATTATTCAATTCGATCGACTAATTCAAAATCCACTAATCATAGACGTATTATATATTACATTTGAATTGTTCATTAGTACTATTAATATAAAACTCATTATAATCTTAATTAACAAGTTTAAATTCCTTTTTTAATTAGACTAATTAAATATAGACATTCTTTTTTTCTATTTATCTAACATATCCTTTATGAGATTTTAATATTGATTATACTTATGAATAAATTTCTTACATTTTCTCTTATATTAGTTTTTTTTATTCACTATTGAATTCTTCATTTTTTTCTTCAGTTTTAAGAATCAGTTTGGGACTTTTAGGTTAATATTTATCAGATTATTTTTGAATATAAGGTTCAGTTTTTTTATATTATTTTGAGGAAATCGATTCTTACATTTTTTTTTTTGTTTTGCTAAGGTTTTTGATTCTTTAAGACAATTTTTCTATTTAATCACTATATATATTTTTGCTATTTTCATTTCTTTAAACACTTTTTTATTGAGCACTAAAGATTTCTTAGTCATTAAATGAAGAATCTACTCTACATATATTATAACAGGAATATCTGCAATATTATAAAGGAGTCGAAAGGGAACCCCTTGAAATATTATCAGTTCTTGTTTTGGGTGGAGAATTAGAATAATCATAAACGTTATTAATAGATCTAATTGTAGGTTTGTTTGACTTTTCTCTAGATTTTTCAAGATTCTTCATGCTTAATTAAGGTAATCTAACATTTAATGATCTTGTTGCTGTTATCATTTTATTTAATTATTTATTAATTTAACTTTAATAACTTAATTTTATTGTCCTCTTAATAGATTCAATAAGAAAAAGAAATATTAACATTTATAAGATACTATATACTTAAAATATGAATCAAAATAATTTATAAAGTCTTTGAAGCAATCAAGAAATCAATTAATATTTAAAATATTTTATATATAAAATGGCATATCAATAGCCTTTTTACATGGCATCACCACAAAGACCACAACCTCAGCCTTAAACCTATATTCCACCCACTTAAGTATAGACAAGACCATAATACCCTCCTCAACCCTAATATCCACCTTCAATACCATAGGTACATTTTGAATTTATTTTGAATAATTGTAGGGATATCGTCCACCCCAACCATACAGTTATCCTCAACCTTAAATAGTTAAATAACAATTACCACCTCAACCACAAAGGATCTCTTATCCATAACAAACAATTGGATATCCACCATAATAACAACCACCTTAAACCTATCCTCCTTAACAAGTATATCCATAAGGTCCTATCTATACTCAAAGTCCTTAGAGACCAACTCCAACCCAACCATATCCATAGCAACCTGTAAGAGTGTTAATTTTATCATAGAATGTTTAACAGTATAGATAGCCATTGCCTCCTTAGAGTCTACCTCCAAGAACTGTTCAACCTTAATAATACCCACCATAACAATATCAATAACCATAACAACAAGTAACACGTCCATATGCTCAATCTTAACCATAAGCTCCAATCTAATAATTGGCTTAAGCTCCAATTCAAAACAAAGTTGTTCAACCACCTCAATAAGTTCCAAAATAACCAAAAGCCTAATAAGTACCATAATATAGACCACCTGAACAATAATAATAGCCATAATAATAATAATAATATAAACCATAATAATTGTCATAGAAAGATGAAGATTTAGAGAAGAAATTCTAAGATGCTATAGATAGAACAAGAGATTTAGTTTAAAGATACTAGAATCCATAGTAAAATTAATATTAACCTTAAAAGTAATAGCAATAACCTCAACAGCCATAATATGAAAAGTAAAAATATTAATATAATTATCTTAGTCCTGAGAATAATGATCAAGATTAATAATTTTAAGATTTAGCTTTATAATATGAAGATGGTTACATTTATAGAGGATAAGGTTATGAACCAGCAACAAGAGAAGGTTTTGGAGTGCTAACTGATTAAAATGATAATGAAGTATATAGTGGATATTGGCATGAAAATTAATATCATGGTTAAGGTAAGTTGATCAATTTCTAAGCTGAATAAATTGATGGTCCATTTGATTATTAAGATCTTAGTGGCATTGATAATGGTTGGTTAGGTTATGAGGGTATAAAATATATATAATAAATAAGGTGAATTTTTTGAAGGTAAAATGCATGGTTAAGGAACACTTTAATTAACTAATGGTGAGAAGTTTGAAGGTAAATTTAATGATGGAATGATTGATGGAGAAGGAACATACACAACTGTCAATGGATAAGTTATTACAGGAGTTTGGAAGGAAGGAATCTTGGCAAGTTATATGTGATCCCATAAAAAATATAAATAAATCATATTTTTAAATTTATTATCATTATACCTCTTTTTTGTGTCTAATTAATACTAATTAATAAATAATATTAAGTAATGTTTTGTTGTTCAACTAAAAGATAAACTAACAAAAAATAAACCTAAAATAAGATTCATCATCAATCCTTTGATTAATCAATTAATTAAGAATTTGAAAATTAATAGATTGCTACTCCACCATAACTACCAAAAAAATTAATTAAAAACACTCAACCTTAATAATAAATTTTTGGATAAACCACTAAATCAGAATCTAAAATAAGAGAAACCAAATTGATTTTACCTATCAAAAATATTTAGCATAAGACTTCAAATCCTTTTAAAAAATTCTAAACATACAAATTATTAAATATTAATAGGAATACTGAATTTCTTGCTGTTAAAGATACCTATACATTACTTATTAATAAGTTAAACAATTGATTAAATTCATATATTATGTATTTTTTGATTTATTATATATATAAATAGTTATTTTCTGTATTAAAATAAACAAAAAATATCTAACTCATTTCGAAAATTTTCTATGTTAGCACTCATAATCTAAAAATCTAGATTCTAATCTATATTGTAATACTTCATCTGATTATTTATCATCTAAATATAATTCAGATTATTAAATATTCATTTTTGGTGAATTATCTTAAGAACTCTCTATTGCAAATAAAAAACTACTCTTCCCACTCAAAATTTACTTACTTCTAACAATAAAATCATTAATCTTAAAATTTCCATAGTCAAACTTATTCTTATTATTATTATTATTATTAAAGTAAACATGATTCATATTATTGTTGTCATTAATAGAGTTACCATTTTGCATTGGATTTAAATATAATGGACTTGAGTTTTTATAAGGATTATAGATATCACTTAATTAGAGACAGGTTGCTATTTTAAAATCTCGAAGTTTAGATTTTTTTTTTGATATTTATGTATCATCCATAGTTTTATCGTATTAATTAGTTTTCATGGAAATCCATGGATGTAACAATAACTCTTCTGCTGATAATCTATTTTTAGGATTTTTGGTGAGTGTACGTTTTAATAAATCTTATTGTAAATAATGTAAATCTAAAAATTCTTATTATCTCCATGGATTATAATTTGGATTAGTAATAATTTCAATAGTATCTATTATTGTATCAGCCAAAAATGGAAATTTATGACATAATAATTGATATAAAATAATTCCACATGACCAAATATCAACTATAAATTTAATATTAATTATTTACTTTTTTCATTATAAATTCCACATAAAAAGATTTCAGGGGCTTAAAATAAAATAGTACCTGTTCTTGTCCACATTTCATGTATGATGATACCATTTTTATTTTTTTTTTAAAACTTTTTGGATACACCAAAATCAATAATTTTAATTTCAGTTTGATCACTTAATTTCACTAAAATATTATCTGGTTTAATATCTCTATGACAAATTCCTTTATTATGTATAGATTTAAGAGATATAGCTAAATTTCTAATAATTTCTCTAATTTATTTAATAGTCAATTAGTTTTTGTCAAGATAATATTCTAAACTCTTCCATTCACAATATTCCATAACTAAGTATGCAACTTTTTCGTTTTCATCTATAAATAGATCGAAAACCTATATAATTTATGGTAATGTATTTAATTCTCTATTTATAATAAATGTTTAAGTGATAGTGTTTATTAATTCTGGATCATCAGCATTAGGTATTATTTTGACAGCATATTTAGTTGGAATATGACCAAAATTCAAGAGTTAACTTGAACAAGTTTTTTTGTAGCAAACTTTAACAATTCCATTTGAACCTTAACCAATGATAGAACCAATTTAATATAAATCATGAAAACGATTCTAAATACAAGGCTTTTATTTCTAGTTTGTTTTAGCTTAGGATTCAATATTTAATTAAGTATTGCTTGTTGATCTTTTAACAATCTTAGAGTTCTCTACATTTTTGCTTAATATTTCTTTTTTAGTAAATAGAGATTACTTAATTTTTGATCTCATTTCATTCATTTATTTATCTCTATTTGTTTTCATTATAAAATATATATAATTAATAGCTAATTATCAATATATATATATATTATAAGCAATAAATAAATTCAATTGATAATGATAATTCTACAACATAATATAAATCAGTTCATTTCTTCATCCCTTTATTTATTGACAATGATTTCACACACTAAACAAAATTAAGATCTTCCCCAACTTCATATTCATCAATTTTTAAATTAAAATTGTCTTAAAAAAATGAAAAGAAACTATGTTTTGAAATCTTTGATCTATATAAAGGCATAAAAATCTTTGATGTCAAATATTCTTTTGATGTTTTCCTTTTTTAAGGATTCTTTTATAGCATTGATTTCATAATTTCAATAATATTCTTATCCTATTTTGTATTTGGAATTTAATATTTTCCAGCAATATTATTTAATAATATATTTTTTTAATCCTTTCCAAAAGGGTTTTCATTAAATAACCTAAATTAGAATTGTTTTGCATACATATAATATAATAGAACTCCTAATTAGTATATATTGGCTGAAGTAGATATATGGTAATTAATTTGATATTATTCTGGTGGAACAAACCCAATAGAATTACCTTTTCTAAAATTTAGATTAATAATACATTAATGATTGATTTTGAGTTTCAAAAATTGAATGAGAGAAATTACACATATATATTGAATTGAATTCCTAAGAATAACATATATTGTCTAAAGTAATTCCATTATGAATTATTTTTAGCTCTTCAAAGATGTTTAAAACTAAATTTATATTATTTATTAATACCTAAAAGAAGTTATTCTAATATTTCAATAATAAAAGATACTGGAGGATTCTTATATTTTTTTAATATTTGTCTTAGTGATATTTAAGTTTAACTTTAATAAATAATTGAATAGCATTCCCCATCAAATGTGAGTTAATCTATTTTCATGATGTAAGGACATCGTTGTATATTTAATAATTAAATGATACGTATTTCTTCTGGTACTTTTTCACATCCAAAATCTGTAATACTTGAATTGGATATTTATTATGAATCTATTTAATTAATTCTTTTTTCAATATATTTTTTACCATTAAGTCTATTAATTATTGTCTTTAACTATAAATAAAATATATATATACTTGATATGTAGACATAGACTCATTTATAGTATCTAAAGTGTAAATGTCATTCTTTAAAAAAATGAATTTTCCTGCAGAAAATTCGTACATAGAATCTAATTAATTTGGAGTTCCAAAGACTTTGTATAATTATCCATGAAAATGTATTATGAAATATAGATTTTCATCATTCTTGTTATTTATGTAAGCACTCCAATCGAAAATAACTCCTTCATCACAAAAGTCAATATTTAACAACAAGGAATGATTAAGAGTGTTCTAAATCAATTTAATTATTACAATCATCTTCAAACCATTTCCTTAAGGAATCAAAAAGATAGCTTATTTGTTACCCTTCTAAAATTTTAGTCCTTCAATGAGAAATAAATCGTTTTGATTCATCGATGACAAGATTTAGTTGTTTTATAAAATAAATAATAAAATCTTCCCATTTTCTTTATTAAATTTAAAATCGATCATTCCAGGTCAATACGATTTTAGGTAGAAGATTAAAAATAATTTATTTATTAAACTTTCAAACTCATGTTATTACAAAACTTTAACCCTGTAGTTTATGAAAGTGAATAAAAAATTAATTAAATTCAGTGATTTTACATCCCTCTCTAAACAAAAAAAAAATTAAACTTTATTAATATATTGCATATCACTGTTTAATTTTTCTAATATTAGACATTTGAAATTTAGGGGTATTCTTCCTTTACTATAAAGCCATAGTATAACAATGAATTTCATAAAAATCACCTATTATCATAATCTACATACCACATAAATTTATATATGTTTCTAATTCTATCATTTCTTCTTTCCTTTATACCAATACTTCTTTGAAAATGAAAATTATATTGAATTTCGTGTTTAGGTTACTCTTCTTATTGCAATTTTTGTTAAATATTCATAATATCTATTTTATTTTTAATACTTTATGGAAAATTAACCAAAAAGGGAAATTTTTGTTCCTTATTAATCAAACTATGAAATAATATTTTCTGACTAACAATATAATAAATTGGTTCCAAAAATAAGTATATATATGAAAAAGATAAAATGCTAATTTTTAAGTTAAAGCTGGATTTAAAAAAAATGAAATTCTTGGAAATTCACAAGAATTCTAAAAATAATAAATATATATATTTTAAAAGTGAGTAATTTTAGTAATTAGAATATTTCATATTACCAATTTCATGTCTTCATCATAAGGATAAGACGATTTTAAGAATAAGTTAAAAATTATTTGAAATCTATAAACTAAAAAGATTTTCTATATTAACAAAATGTTCTTTAATAACATCTAATATTTAATAAGAATTAATTTAATTAATGAATCAACCTCCATATCCACCTCCTGGTTATCCAGGATAATAAGGTTAACCAAATTATCCTCCCCAACCTGGTTATCCACCACAACCAGGTTAAACGTCATAACCAAATTATCCTCCTTAACCTGGTTATCCTCCTTAACCAAATTATTCCCCCTAACCTGGATATCCTCCTTAAGCTGGATATCCTCCTTAAACCGGATACCCTCCATAAACTGGATACCCTCCATAAACAGGATACCCTCCGTAAACCGGATACCCTCCATAACCTGGTTATTAACCATAGCCATAAATGAGATGTAAAATATTACGTAATCATCATTAGAGGTGTAATTTGTTGTGAATGCTTGGGCATTATTTAATAATTTCCCTGTAACAGTAACAATAGATGATAACCAATATGTTGATACTTTAGTGAGAAATGCTTGTTCATAAGCATTAATAAATTATAATGCTGTAAGAGGATTAAAGATAAAACCAGGTCAATCTAAAAATTAATTCGTAAAGGTTATTTATATATGCTATTTTTAGGCTGAATTGCTTCCTCCAAATATTACAATAGCTTAAGTTGCTAATTAACATCAAAGAGGAAATGAAAAAATATAAGTTCATTTAGATTTGATGCCACAAATAGGGTAGCCAATTACAGCATCTCCTAAGGTCACTGGTTTCGATTATGCAACATTAGATAATCTAAAGTAGAATCCAAGAGCCTTTGGAGAAACTGTGTGTGCTATGTTAAATAGTGATGGTGGAATTTGTTTGATTGGATTAGGTTAAGATATGAAGATCAAAGGATTGTTAGTACCCAATACAAAACAAGAAATATAATAAACCATTATTTCTTTACTAAAGGATCATATATATCCTCCTGGATTTTAATCATTAATTAAAGTATTTTTATAAACTATAAAAAATAGGCTAAAATACATCCATTAATAGACTAAAATGGAATTAAGTCTTAATTATCAGGAATTGTTGTTTAAGTAGAGAGATGTCCAAAAACAGATATTGCTTTTACTCATGATTATGTATTTTTCTATAGAAAGGGGAATGCCAATGAGAGAGCTTATCCACATGAAATAACTAATATTTTAAGGTAGAAAAAGGGAAAGAATGCTAAATAATTTATCTTAACATTTAATATATGATTATTAAATTTCATATATCAGAAAAATATTAATATCTATAAATTTTATTAAAATTATTTATTAAGTTATTTAAATTCAAATAGAAATAAGATGAACTACCAATAATATATTTGCTTTAATAAATTAGATCGAATAATTTAAGGTTAAAAAATGTTAATTCTAATTTCATACTCCATAAATAACTAATAAATAAAACAAAATATTCATTGTAAATAATTTACAACTTTTAGTTTAGAAAATAATTATTAAAAGCAATCAACTAGAATTATATAAAGTTTTGAATAAATAGATATATTGTCAAAAGATTCAAAATATATTAAAGAGTCAATAAAAATATTTAAGGATATTCAGATACTTGGCTGAATTTCGAAAATATTTACGTATCTATTATAATTGGTATTGAATTAATTTAAGATTATGCTCTAAAATATTATAAATTAATAATAAAATAGATTAAGTATCTTATGATTATAAATATTTAGTAAGAATTATCCAATAATATAATTACAAAGTTTGGTGACAACGTTTTAAGTAGATTGTTATTACAAAAGATATATATGGAATTTGGATTGATCAAATCTAGATCACCTTGAAATTTAGAGTCATCATTTCTTATTGAATTCATACAGTTTATAATGAAGTAGTTAACTAATAATTAAACTACTAACTTATAATTTTTTAATTATTTGCAATACTTTTAAATATAAGTATATAAGAACAAAAAGCTTGACTAAAACAGACTTAAATAGGATATGTACTTAATGGAATAGTTGTAATAAAATAAATAATAATTAAATCATAAACAATTAAAATAATTTATTAGAGAAAGATGTAATTATAATAATAAATATTTTAACGCTGATATATAAGAATTAAATTTATTGAATTAGTAATTAATATCATAAATAATTATTTTTTCAGAAACCATTAACAATTACAAACATAGTTCTTCTGATAATTGAAATACAATTATTATTATTATAATCAATATACTAGAAATTCGTTTTTAATATAAATCGTTTTTCATTATTAAGTTTATCAGAAATGAAATACATCATGATTGTTTTGTTGGCCTTAGCAGCTACAAGCTCAGCATCAAAAACTTAAGACTAAATTTTGGCCCTCTTATAAGTAAATAGTGATATTTATTAAATAGACAGGAACAAAAGCAAGTGATGCTATAGACACAGTCTTTGGATTGTTGAATGATTTGAAATAATCAAACATTGATGCTTAATTTGCAGCTGATCAAAAGAATGAAACAGATGAATGGATTGGTGCATAGTAATTATATATTCCAAATCTTTAGAACAATTGAATAATTTTCTAAAATCAAGGCTTTGAACTAGAAGTTATTCCAATAAGCAGTTGAGAATAGAGCTGAATATGAAAGTGTTTTGTAACAAACCAAAAACTATTTGGCATGGAATGAAGCCAGAAGAGACTCTATTGCTGCTAAAATTGAAACACTTTAAGACAATTAATGTTTCAGCAACTAGTTATTCGTCAAATCTATCAAACATAATTAAGAAGCCCTTGAAGTTATTAAACTTTTGAAATAAGACGTTGCTGGTTATATTATTAATGGAGATTCATTTGAATTTACATAAGTTTAAGCTTAATCTGTAGCTGAAAAATTGAAATAATATAGCAATTTGTTCTAAGAACATTAAATCAAAACATTCTTGGCTTTAGGTTAAGAATAATAAGTAATCTCTATTAAATTAAATAATTAGGAATAATCATCAGGAAATGGATAAACTTTGGCTGAAAAAGTCTTGGCAGTCTTGGAAGGTTTACATTCTGAATTAGAGGCTTCATTAGAAAATTTGAAATAAAATGAAATCAATGCCTCATGGGAATTAGCTGGTTGGGTTTCATTATCTGAAGCTGAAATTGCATCTTTGAAAGTTGAATATGAAAGAAAGTAAGTATTTGCTGATAGAACTGCTACTGTAATAATATATTCTTATTAATCTATAGTAAATATAAGCTGCCTTAGCTTAATAAGCTAAATCTAAGATTATATTATAAGAATCATAAGATGCATTAGATTAAGCTTAAGCTGATTTGGAAGCAAAGAGAGCTGATTATGAAGAAGCAAAAGCTAAAAGAAATGAAGAGAATGCCATATTGGATGAAGTAATCATAATGTTCAAGAAATAAGTTGCATCATGGTCAGGAAGATGATATCTTTGATAGATATATTGCATTATTTCATTTATTAAACAACATTTAATTATTATCATTTATGCTTATTAACTTATTTCATTTTTATAAGGGTAACTATTTATGAAAATATTACTATAATAATTTTAGATTTAAAATCATTATTTTTTCTTTTAAAATTTTCAATTTAATCTACTTACTAATGTTAACTTTATTAATTTGATGAATGTAGTAAATAAACATTTAATATAATTTTATAATAAAAATACGTAATAATGATAATGAATATTATTTGATAATAAAATAATTATTATAAAATAAATATGCATATCTAATTTAAGTATTTAAGGATTAATTAAATCTAATAAAAATAATTTATTTATTTATTTAAGATGAATATCATAAGAAAAGCATCCACTACTATTTTGAGACCATAATTCAATTATTAAAAAGTTATTCTATTCCCAGGAGATGGAATAGGCCCTGAAATTTCTAAAGCTGTAATCGATATATTTGATTCTGCAAAAGTGCCAATTGAATGGGAATTTCATGAGATTCACAAAAAAAGAGTGACAGAATAAGGTGATTTAATCACAGAAGAAACTCTTAAATAAGTCAAAGCCTTGAAATATGCATTAAAAGGTATTATTACCCTTAATTTCATCAGGACCATTCGAAACCCCTATTGGAAAGGGATATAGATCCATAAATGTTACCTTAAGAAAGAGATTATAATTATTTGCTAATGTTAGACCATGTAAATCCATTAAAGGGGTTAAAACTCCATATCCAGGAGTTGATGTTGTAACTATCAGAGAAAACACTGAAGGAGAATATAGTGGTTTAGAACATGAAGTCGTTCCTGGAGTAGTTGAGAATCTCAAAATAGTTTCTTATAATGCTTGTTAAAATATTGCATAATATGCATTCGAATATGCAAGAGCAAACAGTATTTAATATATAATAATTATAGATAGAAAATAAGTAGTTGCATGTCACAAAGCAGGTGTTATGAAACAAGGAGATGGTCTATTCTTGAAAGTTTGTGATGATGTTGCAAAAAATTATCCAGAAATTGAATTTAGTGAAGAATAAATTGATACTATGGCTTTTAAATTAGCAAATGATCCTACCAAAATTGATGTTATGGTCATGCCCAATCTTTATGGTGATATTGTCTCAGATCTTTGTGCAGGTTTGATTGGAGGATTAGGATTGACAGCATCAGGAAACATTGGAAAAGATTGCGAAGTATATGAAGCTGTGCATGGAACTGCACCTGATATTGCAGGGAAAAATCTTGCAAATCCAACTGCATTACTATTATCAGGAATTATGGTATGAATAAACATTTAATAAAATAGATGTTAAAAGCTATGAGATTAAATGATTATGCTAATAGAATCGAAAATGCTACATACTAAGTATTAGAAGAAGGCAAATTTTTGACTGGTGATCTTGGTGGCAAAAGTACAACCACAGATTATACCAAAGCAATTATTGATAAATTATGATCAATGTATATCTTAATACATGTTTTATTATTCAATTAATTTTTATAATATAATTAAGAAACTATATATTGATTAGACATTATCTTTTTTTATTTTACCTTAATGAAATATTATAAGACTCTTACCCTTTAGAGAATTCACCTATGTACTATAGTTTAAATGCCTGCCATCTATCTCTTTACCAAAATTTAATATTACTTAAATGACGATTCATCTATTGTTCTATTCATGTTAAATATCCAAACCATTGTTAGAAGAAAAATAGTCATTATTAATATTCAATAATATACTTTTTATTTTGATAAATTAAAATTTTTGTTTAACTTTAACAAAAAAAGTTGAAATTTAAAATTTTAAAAGATTTATAGATTAATTTCACATGCCATATAAAATAATAAAAAAAATAAAATTAACTTTTATTTTTCCCAGGAGTGGAAAAGATACAATTGAATAGGGCATTTCCCTGGTT